TCAAATACTAGCAGCTAATATTTAGTGTATACAATTTACCAAGTTCTGTGATAAGTGCTTTATGACATTTAAGGCTCCCAACCTTCACGAGAGAAACATCCTACTATGTTGATGTTACAGGTAATAGAAGTGAGGTTTGGCAAGGCTAAATGTCTTGCCCATGGTCACACAGCTATTTAGTGACTGGGCTCCTATTTGAGCCCAGATGTGCAGGACTCCAAAGTCCATATTCTCACTTCTGTCTTCCCTGGGTCTTGCTTTCACATTGCTGCTTCTCCAACTTCCATTGTCTCTGCACTTTGACTGTCGGTCCTTGCCTAGAGCATCTGTTGCTCAGGAACCTGCTGGGACACGTCTTCTGCCTCAACCTCAACGTGCTCCTCGGATGAATTGGTGTTAGCCCTGCGGCCCCACGCACCAGGGTAAGAGAGAGTCTCGCTTCCTGCCCTGGCCCGAGGGACCGACTGGCTGGGCCTGCCTTCTGCCCAGCTCACCGGTCATGGAACAGAGTTTGGACACACACTCCACCCCTGCCTGATGAAAAAAGTGTACAGACCCCAGGTTATTCCTCCCACCCTACTAGAGTCTGACGACTTAGAGGTTAGGGTCCTGACTCACAAGTGAGCCAGAAGACTCTGCTCTGTTCACCTAATGTACCTCTTCCTGGCTTGTCCCGGGTACCTCCTGGTTCTCACACAGAGTGGTTGTCATACTGTGAGGAGGGACTACCATGCCTTCGCTGCCCCAATCATGCTGCTAGATGGTTTATTTATATCTAAATATATCTAAATATTTATTTGGGTATATATTTTTTCTATATAACTTTTTTGTATATTTATTTAAAAACCATCTTGGTAGGCTGGGAGTGAAATTTTCTTCCTAAGGAATCATCAAGTAGTCTTTCCGTGGTCTCACTAAGTTCCCTAAATGGCCATTTGGACATTCCACAATGACACTGTTTTCCTTGGGAGTTGTCCAAGAGCCATGCTACCCACAGTTGAGATCTGGCTTACCTGTATCTCGTCAAGCAGAACTCTCAATCCATCAGAACTTCTGCAGCCTTCAACGCAGTAACAGATGAGACTTGGGGTTAAGACCCTGCAGTGGCCTGCGATACTCCCAAATACAGTGCCGTCCTTGAACGTGATTAAATTATACTTGGTCTAGCATAATTGTTAGCCTGGAACCAGTTCTTTATTGTGACTCCCTTATGACTCGTGGTAGACCTTCCTCAGGTTTACCTTAAAGGATACCTGTTAAAAATAATGATCATAAATGGGCTGATTTGCTTCACTAGTTTCTATTATAGGCATTACAAATCTTTCGGACTTAGGGGTGTTGGAGAAAGAAAGAAATATGCCTGTTGAACATTGTGGGGCTGAATTTTTCTGGAAATGTAAAATGAGGGCTTGTAGGAGAGAACTGTTTAAATGTCTTCATGCCCTGACATTGTATGATCTTCCTAAGTAGCTAGAGGTTTATAATTTTAAAGATGTAATGCATGTAGACTTGGAGAATACTCATTTTTGTCTAATTGGTTGCTAGGATCAGGTATCTATGGAAACAACCAACCATTAGTATTCAAGATAGGAAATTTATTTCTTTTACTCTGCATGATCACACAGTGAGTATAGTATTCCTTGTATGATGGCCTCTTGCAAAGCCTGCATAGAAATTGGCTTTTTTAGGCCTCTGAAAGAAGCAGAAAGTGCATTTCCTCCTTGAGCCATCTCCACATTTTCAGAAACCAGTGGTCCTGCTCCACACAACCTCATAATTACTCTTCCCAGATTATTGTATAAGGTTTGAATGTTAAAAGTTGTCCCTCAACAGTGGCTTTATGAGCTCAAAAGCAAATTCATTTTGAAAACCTTGTCCTGTATTACTATGGTCTTTCTACTCGGGTTTTACCTTCACATTGAAAGTTTTGCATTTGTATAATACTGTTTCTGTGTAACTGTGACAATTCTCAAGAGACGTGTGCTGGATTTTTCTCCAGTAAGAATGTACCTCCCTACTCCTGGTGTAAGATGGTTTCTGGGGCATGGTGAGGTTCCTTGAAAGCTTTGCCCATTTTTTTTTTTTTTTACAGGGAAAGCCTGATAACTTGTACAAAGAATAAACTGTCTTTCTTCTGGTAGTTGAATGAAAAGACGGGAAAAACTCTATTTTTCTCCCTTTATTTCTTTTCTTCTCAAATTGTATGCCCAGAATTTTAATATGGTGGCTAACATATATTAACCCCAGCAAGTAACATTCTGGATTGTGTATTTTCTTCCATTTAACTTTGTATTCTTTTTAAATTTGGTTTCTTACATATGCTCCTTGCCATTCATTCATTTCTTATTCCAAATAAATATCTGAGTCCTACTTTTACCTGACACCAGAAGGCCCTAAGGTTATCTTGGTGACTGAGACAGATAGATTTTTTGCCCTGGCTAGGCTCACTGTCTAGGCAGGGAGACAAGGTCACTAGGTAGTTAGAGCACAGTGTGGGCCAGTTTTAATGAGAGAACACAGGGCGTGTGTGATCTCAGAGAAAGGACATTAACTCAGCTTTGAGATCAGAGAGGTCTTTTTGGAGAAGGTGACACATAAACTGAAACCTGAAAATATAGAGCAGAAGGATAAGGAATGGGGGAGAATGTTTCAAGGAGAGGGAATGGAAGGTGTTGAGTGCCTGAGGTCACTGCAGGAAGAAAATTAAAACCTGGTTTTATTCTCACCCAGTCTCCAGAACCAGATTTCATGGAAAAACATTGCAGTATTGTGCCTCGTTTTAGCCTTACCAACTCAAAACTAGAAGGACAGTGCAAGTTCTAGGCATGTTTAAGAATGTACAGTGAGTCTTTGGGCCCTGGAGGAATAAGGTGGACATTGTCTGAAGCTTGCCAAGAGGCTATGTTCCTTAACTCCCCCTTAGACTCGTCGTGGATGCCTTTCTAAGCAAAGAATTACAGATGGGAAATAATGTCAAATTCAGGTTTTCTCTGAAGAGGGCTGCTCTGGTTACAGAGCAGTGGACCCTCTGAGCTGTGTCATGGAGAGTCGAATGTAGAATGTTTATTTCCAGAAACAGTAGCAGCAGCTCTAAGCTTGCACTGGGTGTCTTGGGTTCCTTTGGAATGTCCCAGAAGTCAGAACTGAGTTCTGAGTTGTTGAACATTGGTTACCCACATTTGATCACATACAGCTGTGACCACCCACATGGGCAGTGGGTGAGAGCCTGAATCTGGGACCTTGGGACATAAATACTTGATGAGCAATAGCAGTCAGCCCTAGTTCTGGTTCCTTATATGATAGATGCTGTTCACCTGAGACATGTACTCCTGTGAGCTCACGTGGATTTTGATCATTACTCCTCTCCCCATACATATGTAGTGGAGAAATAAAAGCACTATGGTAATTCATAATGGCAAAAATTGTTAATGGAACAACATCAGCAAATGCCTGTGGTCCAAAGGTTAAAACACTGGTTATTAAAGTATGAATCTTGGAACAGCAGCATCACCGTCAACCAGGAACTTGTTATGCACAGTCTCTGTCTCACTCCAGACCTGCTGAATCAGCAACTCTGGCAGGGAGGTCCCAGAAGCTTGTGTTTTAACAACCCTCAAGGAGATAGTGATGCATACTGAAGTTTGAGAACCTCTGGAGTATGTAATATAAGCCGTAGGTAATGAGAATGTCCTGTAATCCTATTGATGGGCTACCTGTGACTTCTACCCCTTACTCGCCATGTAAGAAGGCCTATTAGAATAACAGTGAGAGTGATGTTGTTATGGAGACAACCATGAATTTGTACCAGTTTATTAAAATATATACGCGATTGTTAACTTTGCTACTTTATTTTTTAGTAATTAATACAATTTGACCAAAGTCACAACAATAGAGATACCACAGTTAACTGCTCCAGGTCTCATACTGTAGCCAAACAGTGGCTTTCATTTGTGTTTTTGTTTTTGTTTCTGTTTTTTTCTTTCCTGACTATACCCCACACTAACAAATCTGTTTCAATTGTGATCCGGGAGACACATACATGTGTGTATAATCATGCCAACTGCTTCACGAAATAACACCCTTCCTATATTTTCTGTGCTGCTCTATGAAAAGTATGTTGGTTGCATTCCATAAAATTCATCTCCTGACCCACCAATGAAAAGTGACCTGCAGACGTAATGAGCTGTCTTTGCGTGGACCTTGTCTCTGGAGCAGGAGAGGTGTGGGACTGCCTTCACCTCTCTGTCAGGTAGACTTGATTTTCAATCTCTGTTCTGCCACTCACAGCTGTGTGACCTTGGGCAATTTATTTATGTTTTCTGAGCTTTCATTTCCTTATTTGTGAATATAGACAACATCTACCTCATAGAGTTAATGTGACAAGTAAATGACCAGATATTTCGCACAATGACTGGCTACTATCTTACTTGTGGAGATAATATTGTTAGCATTTTTCAGAATGTCATCAGTTAAATACATTTCTATGATAACTACCCCAAAGCAGTTTCACAATTTTGTCCCGGACTGCAATGACTAAATGCTCCCCTGTACTCTGTGTATTCAGAAGTATTTTTGAAGTAATTTTAGTTTAACATTTATCCAAGTTCTGCGCTCCATTCCAAAATATATTCAAGTTTATATATGCATTTTGGAATATTTTGTTTTGATTAAAAAATTGAGTCCTTTGGCTAAAATCCCTGAGGGCACTGAGGTTGTAGAAGATGTCCTGAGTGGCTACACATACCACCAACATGGCCCTGAGCACAAGTCTTTGTGAAGGGTTGACCTTACAGTTGTGTTCATTAGGACTGACTTTTCAAGAAAAGTCTATCTGTTTGTGATTTAGAGTAACATCTTCATGTATGTAACTCTGTCATCAGTGGGCATGTCATATCACTCATGGACCCTGGGCAGTTGGCATGTGGAAGTGCCAGGGATTGATCATTCATGAATCCACATGTTGGGGGAGACCCAGCCAATGTCTATTTGTCTTTCTGGAGGTCATGATTGTGGTTGGTGGCCAGGCACCCAAGGCGATCCGCAGCGTGGAATGCTATGATTTTGAAGAGGACCGGTGGGACCAGATAGCTGAGCTTCCCTCCAGGAGATGCAGAGCAGGTAAGCAGCCTGCCTTTCCCCAGCCTGTCTCTGCGTCTTGCTGGAAATCCTGAGTTCTCCTTGTTTCCACAAGCATCTGTGTATTACAGACTCTCTTCCTTTACTTTCCTCACTTGCCCAGTTTCTGGCTACCCTTTTTGGGATCAGTTCTCATGTGCTTAGTACTTCAAGCTAGTACAACTATTTGCTTGAATCAAACACCCTTGGAAAAGCATACATGAATAGAAATCCAGTGAGTCCCACAGTGACTTCCTGTTCTCTTAAGTTGGAGATCACTTTCTGTGGTGAATTATTCATGTGACTTCCTGGCTCCCCCATTGTCACTCATCAGAACGAGTGATGGGCTGCCTGAGATGACCTTGATGCCTTGGTTTCCTTTGCCTCAGGTGTGGTGTTCATGGCCGGTCACGTGTATGCTGTGGGCGGATTTAACGGCTCACTGCGTGTGCGGACGGTGGATGTGTATGATGGTGTGAAGGACCAGTGGACGTCCATCGCCAGCATGCAGGAGCGCCGGAGCACTCTAGGCGCGGCCGTGCTCAATGACCTGCTCTATGCCGTGGGGGGCTTTGATGGCAGTACTGGTAGGTCCAGGATGTGGTCCCTGTTCCTCCTAGCCTGGGACATGCCCTTAGTGCAACCCTGGTTTCCTCAGCCATTTCTTGGGCCAAACTTCTGCCCATCCACAGTTACCTCAACAGCATACTCATCCTTCCTCATCCCCTACCTTGTTTGTCAGAGCCAGGCCCTCCTACACATGGAATCTATAACTGCCCACGTGTATGGTATCATTTCTAGGGTTCTCGGAAGGATGCTGCACTCAGAAGGAGTGCAGTCCTTTCCGTTGTTTGGGAACTCACTTGAGCCAAAAGACGAGACTTAGAATGACAGCATGCTCAGCTGGAGGGCGTCTCAAGACTGTCAGAGCCCTCTGCTGGACGGACTCGGGAGCTGGGGTTCAGCCGTGGAAGAGACCTGGCTCAGGCTGGCATTGCCCTTTCTTTTATTCTTATTGTTTTATTTTTTATTTTTTTATAGTTTATTGTCAGGTTGGTTTCCATATAACACCCAGTGCTCATCCCCACAAGTGCCCTCCTCCATGCCAGTCAACCCCCTTGCCTTCTTGCTCACCGCCCCTCAGCCCTCAGTTTGTTCTCAGCATTCAAGAGTCTCTCATGGTTTGTCTCCCTCCCTTTCCCCAACCATTTTTCCCCTTCTTCCCATTGCCCTTTCTACTGCCCCACGAAGCTTTGCCAGGCTATGCCACTGCAGGAGCGTTCCTTTGCTCCTGGCTTCTGTGTTGCTTTTGGGTTCAAATCAGAACCTACAAGTAGACGTGAACCTGGAGAGATTATCTCACCTCTCCTGTACCTCCAGGTCGATATCTCTGTAGACAGTAACTCTGTTACACTGAAATGCCCCCAGAGATGTGAAAAACAATATTTTTTACTTTTCTGAACTTTTCATTTGTGTCCAGTTGGTAACCATTCCATTTCTTTTCGCCTCACTTATGAAATTCTAGGGTCTATGTCCCCTTCAGAGGCTGCCTCTAGTAGGTAGGACCTTAGAAGAAAGACAAAAAAAGAGAGTGGGGCATTGTTTCTTTCAGAAATTGCTTTTGGCTAACTAGAAAAGCCTCACTAAACTGTGGCTTAAACAAATGAGAGATCCTGTTTTACCCATGAAGGAAGATGTCCAGGAGATGGCGATTGCTAAGTTCATCTACTTGCTCAAGAATATTGGGGCCGAGTTCTTTAAATGTCTCCTGGCTGTGCCCTTCTGATCATAAGATGGCTGTTACAGCTCTAGTTGGCACATTTGTGTTCCAGGTAGCAACAAGCAAGTTGGTGTAGGAAAACAAAGCCTATTTCAGAAATGCCCATCAGATTTCTACTGAGGCCTTTTTCACTGAGTTACCCCCTAGTAGTTCTGGGAAGCTGAGTTTTCAGCTTTCTAGCTTCTTATGTAGAGGAAGAGAAGAGAAAAGAAGGTGTTCAAGTGAGGCAACCTCAGGTTTTTTTACTCCATTCAGTAGATGTAATGAGTTACATTTGCAGGGCAGTTCCATTGTATCCCTGTGTCCTCTCGTGACCCACCGTGAGTCAGGCCTCAGTGGTCCTTTCAGGTAGATATACTGTGAACATGCATCAGGGAGGTGCCCCAGGTTGCATGGCAAGGTAGAGGTGGTACTCAGTCATACCCCCAGGTTTCCGACCTTCCTCCAGCCTCACACCAGATGAGGCCTCGCCTCTTCTCATGAATAGAAATCTCATGAGTCTCTGGTCTCTCAGGCCTAGCATCGGTGGAAGCCTACAGCTACAAGACCAATGAGTGGTTCTTCGTGGCCCCAATGAACACGCGGCGGAGCAGCGTGGGTGTAGGTGTCGTGGAGGGTAAGAAACACCATTGGGCAGCAGCCTGTCCCTGCCCCTGCCCAGGTCTTGTCCCAACACCCTGGCTCTATTCCTTCCATCACTGCTGAGTCAGGTTCGAGTATCCTGATGGAACAGATGAGGAAAGTTGAGGTGCAGATGGTTGCAGCTACTGGCTCAAGGCTAGCAGGTGACCAGCTGTGTTGGGAGGAGTAAGCAGAGCCTAAGAGGAAACACCAGCTGTTGCTTTGTCCGCTTGTCACCAGTTGTGTTATAGGTTGAGGAATCTAGAGTCAACATAGAATGTAGGAGCATAATGTGGTGGGGGTGAGAGTTCATTTTGTTTAATTAGTTTGGGCCTCCTATTTATATGTTCAACATGAACACATTAACAGAGCCTCAAGTGAGGTGGGCATGTCTTCCCAGGTCTGATTACTGTCACTGCAGGAGAGGTTGGTAGCAGAGTCCCGCTCAAGTCAGGAAAGGTGTGTGGAGTGGGGCAGGTGGGAGTAGTGAGGTCTGGGGCCCAGTTAGACAGGGCTCTGTAGTTTATAAATGGCTGTTTTATATACAAATTTTGTTCCCAAAACCCTTTAGAAGGAGATAGGCAGGGTTTAGATTCTCTCCATTGTCCAGATGGGGAAAAGAAGTGCCAGAGGGGCAAGTAACGTGCCTTGACATTAGTAAATAGCACACCTGGTCCTTGACTCCTAACTCCGTGCCTTTCCATTGTGCTACACTCTTTCAGACCATTAGAAAATGCTAATTAGGGATTTTATAAATACATGTGAATTCAATGTTTTAAAGCATAGAGTGTTATTTGGAAAAAAATGTTATACTTTATAGGATGACACTGATTCATTAATCTCTCCTAAAGTGGGAATAGAGCTGGAATATCTGTGCATTTAGACATGTGTATAGGCATTTTCTCCCACTCCCTCCCTCCCCTCCCCCCTTTCTCTCTCTCCTGTGCATCCACAGGAACACACTTACTTGCTCTGGGGAGAGTCTAATGTGCAGTGATTAGACAGATATTAATAGAAATATTCTTCTCTCTCACTGTATTTCTTGGTTTGTACAAGTATTGCATAAATTTTCATTTAGAAGTATATTATTCTAATGTACTAAATCAGTCATTTTGGTGAGTGAAAGGATTTTGTCCTCCTATCAAGATAAATTGTTTCTTGCAATCTCATCCTCCTGGTGGAACAGAAGTTGATTTGTCTGCCAAATGTAAGTGCTTTGTCTAGCCACCTTCCCATTTCCCCCCTTGTTCCTCAGCCAGGAATATCAAACAATAGAGTAGGGGTTAAAAATAGCAAGTCCCTGTTAATAGACTCAAGGAGAAACCTTGAGTGGGTATTTTTTCAGCTGATGCAAGGTTAGGATGGTTGATGGGGGTTAGAGAAGTTGCCTTCATGGTAGTGATTTGAAATACTCCCCTTGACAAGGGCTTGTCTGAGCATGTTCTGTGTGTGGAGAAAGTGCTGTCTTGTAGCGTGCCTGTTGACATGCAGGTCAGCCTGGGAATTTGTTGATCTTGTCCATTCTGAATTTGAAGCTCTTTGGCTGTGGGTCACCTTGGGGCAGCAGAGCGCCCTCCTCACAGCTTTGGTGAGAATGTTTCAGGAGGATCATAAGGAGCCTCTGCTTTACTGTGGCCTTGGAGATGGGGCTCTCCACACTGTCATTGTACTCGCCTCCTTCTCCCTGTCCCCTATCATGGCTCTCTGGTCTGAATGACCCCTGGGGTTGCCATCGAGAGCTCCTCATCTCATCCACACCCCAGGCCTTCCTGCTCCCCGAGTGACTTAGGTTTTGGCGAGCATAGGGCACATGGGTGGGCAGGTTGTTGCATCTTGGCCAGCATATGTCATGGGAGCAGCCTGGACCCTGGAAGTGCTCCCGGGTCAGGAATCCATGCTGTGGCTTAGGTGAGGGCAGAACTGGGAAGGAGGTGTCCTTTCTTTTAGAAGGGCCCCTGGAAAGGACTCTAGGCAGAAAACAAAACCAGCCTCAATGATAGAAGAATAAATAATTTAAAAAAATTTAATGTTTATTTTTGAGAGAGAGACAGAGCATGAGCAGTGGAGGAACAGAGGGGTGGGGACACAGAATCTGAAGCAGGCTCCAGGCTCCTAGTTGTTAGCACAGAGCCCGACGCGGGGCTCGATCTCACGAAGCACAAGACCATGACCTGAACCGATGTCAGATGCTTACCCAGCTGAACCAGCCAGGTGCCCCAATAATTTTACATTTGATATGACAGCACAGTTTGAGCCTCTTTCGAACTTAAAAATATTGCACACTTCCAAATAATAGTTGTATTTTTGGTATTTCTCCCTTAGGAAAGCACAAAATGACAAAAAAAAACCCCTCATTTTATTAATAACTCTATTGAGTGGATTTGCATCTGGAGATGTTTATTTAGTCTACAGTTAGTGTTTGAGATCCTTATTATAACTCCATTGTTCCCGATAGCTCTGAGGCCAGGTTGAGGTAGGACTCCCCCTACCACACACATACACACACACATACACACAGAAGGGAGGGAGAGAGAGGAGAGAGAGTCCATGTTTGAATCTCTGCTCTAGGGAGAGCTCAAATGCTGATTTCCAGCCCCTTGTCCAGCCTCACATGTCCAGCTCCAGGCAGAAATGATGCCTTTATTTTATTTTATTTTTTTATTTTTTTAAATGTTTTATTTATTTCTGAGAGAGAGAGAGAGAGAGAGACAGTATGAGCAAGGGAGGGTCAGAGAGAGAGGGAGACACAGAATCTGAAACAGGCTCCAGGCTCTGAACTATCTGTCAGCACAGAGCCTGACGTGGGGCTTGAACCCGCGAACCATGAGATCATGACCTGAGCCGAAGTCGGAGGCTTAAACGACTGAGCCACCCAGGTGCCCCAGAAATGATGCCTTTAGATAGGAGCTTATGGTATTTTTATTTTAAAAATGGCTAATGGTGTTTCAGGGATCTTGCACATGGCTCAAAGATCACAAGGGAGCCTATGAATGAATTCCAGCCACCCCAGCACAGGGCGTACACACAGTGCTGCATCCACATGCTCCATTTGCTGGAATTGTGGATGGAGCACACACAGTATGGTCAAGTCAGGGTTTGTATTCTCACTGAAGTATATTTTCCCATGTTTGTTTTGTGTGCTGTTGTAAGCCATTAGCCAAAAAGCCAACCTGTCTGCCTGTGGCTGAGCCCCGCTAGCTTTTTATTTCTCTAGTGCCTTATTCTGGAAAAGATACAATATAGTTTGCTAGCAAGAGTATGCTGAGTCCAGTGGTGCCAGGCCATAGGTTTGCATTGGGTATTTATTTAGGGTGCTTATTTAGAAAGGTGCTCTGTAGTGCTTTAAGTAGCCTCATGGCTTAAGAGGAAGTAGAAGGCAGAAATGTGAAGAATGCATAGTCTGGTTTGTGGTCCCTTTGGAGGAAAGCACCCCTGAACTCACATGGAGGTGAAGGTGCCCCGGTAGGTTAATGATGGAGCTTCAGCCAAGCTCCAGTTCTGTGCCAATGTCCCTGTCACCACCCTCAGCCACTTTGTCTGTTCCAGGGAAGCTATATGCTGTCGGGGGTTATGATGGGGCTTCCCGCCAGTGCCTGAGCACCGTGGAGCAGTACAACCCGGCAACCAATGAGTGGACATATGTGGCGGACATGAGCACCCGCCGCAGTGGCGCAGGTATGAGGGAGCCTCGGGGGGCTGGCTCTGTCTGATCTGCTCCCAGGTGGGTCCCAAGACCAACAGTTGAACATTCTACCTTATTTCACCTTCCTGTTCTTTCCTTTTAACATCTGTATTCTCACTAGCACCTTTCCAGCTCGACAAAAGCACTTCCAAATTAACCTCTCCCAGGGGATATTCTCCTCACCATCACCCCTTCCATTCCTGTGGAAGTCACTGCATCCCTGGAAAGTGAAGGCTCGCTGTGTGCCAGGTGCCATCCTAAAAAGCACCGCCTGTACTTCAGTTTATTTAGTCCTCGCCACTGTCCCCCAAAAGGTAGACACAACATAAATTCCACTTAACACAAAGTAAGTTGACCAAGGGGTGAGTGATTTGCTTAAGGTCATATAACTGGTAGGGTCAGGATTCCCACTCGCTTCACCCGTTTGGTCCTTCCTCTAACCCCTTGTCTCTGGCAACTATCAGTCTGTTCTCTGTATTATGGGCTTTTTTTTTTTAACTCCACATATAAGTGGACATCATATGTTATTTGTCTTTGTCCTCTTTTACTTAGCATAATGTCCTCAAAGTCTTTCTTTTTTGTGTATTTTTTTCTTTATTTTTGAAGACTGAATTGTGATCTCACTTTATAGTACCAAACACATGACCACTTGCTCAGCATTCCTTAATGCAATTTAATATTCAGAAACCTTTGTGTGCTCACTAGTTAGAAAAGAAAAAGATGTATGGTCCCATTTAAGAAGCATTTGTATGTGGAATGCTATTTTTTTACATTTATTTATTTATTTAATTTTTAAAAAATGGATTTATATTTATTTTTGTTTTGGTAAAATAAAACTATACATTTTAGGCTAAAAATTCAGAAAATGGAGCAATTTTAGGGAATTTGCCTTTTTTTTTTTTTACAAATAGTTTATTGTCAGGTTGGTTTCCATATAATACCCGTTAAATTATATCCATTTTTTTTTGAGAGACAGAGTGAGATAGAATGTGAGGGGAGGAGGAGCAGAGAGACAAGGAGACGCAGAATCTGAAGTAGGCTCCAGTCTCTGAGCAGACGTTCAGCACAGAGCCTGATGCAGGGCTGGAACCCATGAACTGTGAGATCATGACCTGAGCTGAAGTTGGACACGTAACCAACTGAGCCACCTAGGTGCCCCTGTGGAATGCTATTTTAAGTAAGCTTGTCTCTGCTGATTCTGACAAGTTGGCTCTCCCTGAACATGGAGCAAATGCCTGAAAGTCAGGAGGCCTATGCTTCCGTGCTGTGTCTGCTCAAACTTGCCATTTGACCTTGAACAAGCCCCTACCCCTTTCTGGCTCCTAAGTCTTCAGATGTGAAATGAGTGGGCTGCAGTAGTTGTTCTTCAGGAGCCAGTTCACTTCACACATGTCATGGTTCCTCTCCCTTCCTAGAGGTCTTTTATTAATTTTGGTTCAGAGAATCTTGGTAGAGCCTTGTTTGTACTTCCTAGGAATCCTCTGTGACTTTAAGTGTGAGAGTAAGTTCAAAGCTCAAGGACGTAGGGACAGCTCAGGAGGAGTGGAGTGGCACCGAGACATGGGGCTGCTTTTCAAAAAACAATTTTTTTTAATGTTTTATTTATTTCTGAGAGAGAGAGAGACAGTGGGAGCAGGGGAGGGTCAGAGAGAGAGGGAGACACAGAATCCGAAACAGGCTCCAGGCTCTGAGCTGGCTGTCAGCAGAGAGCCCGACGCGGGGCTTGAACCCATGAACCGTGAGATCATGACCTGAGCTGAAGTTGGACGCTTAACTGACTGAGCCACCCAGGCGCCCCAACATGGGGCTGCTTTTAGGATCGTCTCAAGCAGCAAGTGTGGAGGGGCAGGCCCAGGTGGAGCCCCAGCACAGAGCAGCCTCCTCTGCCAGAGATCTGCCTCTGGAGGCAAACCTCTCTGTCTCTGCCAAGCTGCTTAGGTCTTGTTGCTGTGGGGAGTTCCTGGGGCTGCTCTGGCCCTGGATGGTGGTGACTGTACCGCCCATGGCCCTGGACGACCTCAATTTAGGGAATGCTCCCTCTCCCAGAGGTGGACTCTTAACTCAAGTTACTGTCAGAGCCCTGGCCTCAGGTCAGCTTTTGTTACATGCTTCATATCCCTAAGATTTGGGGAAGTCTCACCTCTGGAGTTGAGAATCTGCATACTTGTCACACTGGGTGTTTTGGTGGCTGAAGAACCGAAGACTCTGGCCCCTGGCTGCCTCTGGCCCTTTGAAGTGCCAAGAGCCACAGTGGTTTTAGGTCCAGGAGACCTCAGCATGAACATTTGTGAAGGAGGCTGCAGAAGGGCAGAGGAGACCCTGAGTACCTGGAATGCTGCTTGCTTTTTCAGTAGGGTGTGAGCGATGCTAACAGTTGGTTGGAGGGTAGAGAGGCCATCTCTGGGACCCAGGCTCTGCTGGTTCCTGCTGGGCATGGGAGAGGGGCAGATGAGGCTGCTTTAGAGCACACTGAATTTCATTACACCCGGTCCATTAGATAGCCACTGTTGATACAACACCACCATCTGCTGTTAGTTTAGGGCAACTGTGAGGAACCACCAGCATACCAGCATAATTGCTGGATGGGGTTTTACATATTTTGTCATTCAAACAAGGACCTAGTACCATCAGGCACAGGGAAACAGATGGAATAAGACAGGGTCCTTACCCATGTGAAGTTTGTATCCTAGAAATTGAGTCTTTGGGTCTGACATGTATGCATATCCAGTCATCTGAGGTTCATTTTCTGAGTCCTAGCTAGTGCCTCTAGGAGCAAGGCCCTGGAATCTATCTTTTCAAAATCTCCCCACCTGATGGAGATACGTCCTGTGATGGGGTGGATTAGCACGTGTGCCACATCACTTTGCAAATGGCAGAACTGAGGCCTGGAAAGGGAGGTTTGACCCAGCAGCAAGTTAGAGACACAGGTCCAGACCCCACGTGTTCCGGACACCAGGTCTGTTGCTCTTTCTAACCCCCTTCCTTCTATGACCTGCACTGAAGAATTTTAGAAGGTGACTCTGAATCCCATGCATGATGCCATGCTAGAAGCCCTCTCAGGACTGTCAACATCAGGAATGACATAATGCCCGTATATAAGCCAAGAGGAGAGTACGTGGTAGAAAAAACAGGCTCTGCCTCAGGGACGCAGGGAGGTCGGCGCTGTAACGATGGCAATGCACTTGCTGCACAGCTAGTTGCCAGTTTTAACTCCTCTGACTCAACTAATAGAATTGAAGGCTGAGGAATACAAGTAGGAAGACTTGGCAACCCAGGCCAATGGGAGGACAAATGTCATTTTACCATCTGGAGATAACTGCTTCTAATGCTTTGGAGGGTTTCTTTCTTTCAGTCTTTTTTTTTTTTTTTTTTGGTGTATGAACTCTCTCTCCCCATTTTATGAATACATAGTCACCTACATGTTACATATATATGTATACTTATGACTGTGCTCTGCCTTTCAGGGGTCGGCGTCCTCAGTGGACAGCTGTATGCCACAGGTGGGCATGATGGACCCCTGGTGAGGAAAAGCGTTGAAGTTTACGATCCCGGAACAAACACCTGGAAGCAGGTGGCAGACATGAACATGTGCAGGCGCAACGCAGGTAATATGACCACTCTTTCTTTCTGCCCTTGTGGTGTTTGGGGGCAAACACTAGCTCTAAAAGCAAAGCAGAGGGGAGAGACTCCTAGAACCTGGGCCCGAGCTTGTACTTGAAATGGGAGTATCCCTTTGCCAGGTAGGCTCTGGGCTAGGAGAGGGAACAGCTGGGGCCACAAAAACTGGCCACAGGGTCCCCTATATAGATGCAGGAGGTTCTTCCTCTTGCAGCAAAGGGTGATTACTTTGTGCACACATAGACACAGACCCAGAAAAGCCCTCTGAGTGCCATTGAAGCCCCCTGTCCAATGGCCCTGTTAGGCAGCTAAGTACAGGGCTGTGTGGACATGGTCAGGCAATGATGCTTGCTTCTATCTTTTCTTTGCCAACACCTGGTTCTGAAAGCCCCTCACTTCCCACTTGAAACCCATCTCCTTCCTTTTAGTGAGGATAAGTCCCCGTATTCATTCTCTGGTGGGAACACTTCCCATACTCCTTGCTTTGTACTTCCTGTCTCTCTGTCCCTTCCCCTTTTCCTTCCTGTAGGAATGACTTCTCTTAGAGCGTTTAGATTTTTTATTCCGGAAGGCTGACATCCCTATTAAACTATTTTCCTTTGACAACTTTGTCCTCTGGGTTGGGTCCTATGTTGGTATATCTTATTTTATGCCTCTTTACTCTATGAAAGTGTCGACTTAGCTTAGCTTCCCAGACTGGAAAGACAACTAGGTGACTTTCTGGCAGATTTATTTCCTTTATATCAAGTTACCTGTTTGCTAAACTCATTTGTAGCTCACATGTTGAAAGTGTAAACAGAAGGGAGTTTATTAATTTGCCCATCGCCTAAGCCTACCATGATATATAACTTGGCATTTGACTTTAAACCATATGAGTAAGGGATTACAGACACTTGAGGGATTACCTAACACAGCTAGTGTACCTCAAATCCAAGAATTAATTTTAGATGTAGATGTGTGTGTATGTACACATTTATATACAGACATTTCTGTTCTTTAATAGCACAAGCAGAATCACACTGTAATGCTGTTTTATAACCTCCTTTTCCAATCCATTTTACAATCTTCCATGAATATCTTATTATAACATGAACTATATTTACATATTTTAAATGGCTATATCATAATTTAAATAACTAATCTTCTGTTGGACATTTATTTCCATCTTTTCTATCAGTAACGCTTTTGTTATTACAAATGGTCCTTTGGCTGATCAGTGTACACATCTAAAATTATTTCTTCAGAATAAAAGTCTAGAAGTAAAAACTTTGAGCCTGAGTGAGCATACATGCTTTCACCACCATCTAGGAAAGTGGTACATTTTATCTTCTCACCAGTGTTTGAGATATATCTTCATTAATACTTATAACTACAACTTTTTGAACATCGCCAACCCTTTAATCTAATTTTGAAAAAAGACATAGTATATTGGACTATGGCCTCTTAATTTAAAAAATTTTTTTAATGTTTATTTATTTTTAGAGAGAGAGTGTGTGTGTGTGTGAGCAGGGGAGGGGCAGAGAGAGAGGGAGACACAGAATCTGAAGCAGGCTCTAGTCTCCAAGCTGTCCCCACAGAGCCAGACACTGTGCTCGAACTCACGAACCGTGAGATCATGACCTGAGCTGAAGACGGACACTTAATTCACTGAGCCATTTTTGAACTCTTGATGAGCAAAATAACAGTTTCTTACCCTTGAGTCCCTGCTGTGTGAGACCTTGCTGTCAAACCAGCCCTCGATGAGATCAGAGCAGGAGGGATACCTGGTCCCTGGCAGCTGTGTGTGGATTTAGACTTAAGTCACGTGAAGGCATCACAGACGCAACCATCAACCCAAAGGGATCTAACACCATTTATCAGGGAAAACTTAAAGCAGAGCATTAGTAGTGTGGGTGAGATTCTCTCAGTCTGGGTTGGGGAGGTCTGCATGCACCAGTAGGCAACACTCCAGTAGGGAGGGGCCCATCTTGGTAATGCTCTAAGTATTTATAGGGTCAGGGGCCAGGAATTGTCCATGGGACCATGTGGCAGTGATACCCCTTCTCAGATAGGGGGGTCCTTGGAGCCCAGTGGCTGTTCATATCAGCATGTTCTTCCATTGAGTGAAATGAGACCGAAGAGCCAGTTCCTTGTGCTACCTTGAAGGGAGGGAGGAGTGCCTCCAGGACCGTCCAGATCTGTCTCCCACCCATTCCGACCACTGGTAGCCTTGCCGGTGATGTCTCTTCTGGCCTCTGGTTCCCAGGGGTGTGTGCAGTGAATGGGCTCCTGTATGTGGTCGGAGGGGACGATGGATCCTGCAACTTGGCTTCGGTGGAGTACTACAATCCTGTCACCGACAAGTGGACGCTGCTGCCAACCAACATGAGCACGGGGCGGAGCTACGCAGGTCAGTGTGCCTCCCCACCGGCTCCACCCTCACCTCGCCCCACCCCTGCACAGACGGTGTGGGGTGGGGGTGGGCATGAGGTTACTTAACTCCGGACTCGGCGCCTCCTCCAGGGATGGCAGATAATTGTCCCATGTCACCACTTGTCCATTCTGTGCCCATGACGCATACCCATAACTAGCACTGTTTTCCCCCAGCAAACCTGAGTGTTGCCCCAGAATTCTCTTTCACACCCGTCTTCCCAGGGAGTCGCTTCCGGATACTCTGATTTGTCATAAGAGGCTTTAGAATTTCACTGCCATTTCTGGGCTCCTAGATAGAGTAAGAGACAGCTCTTGTTTTCCAGAAATTTAATTAGAAAGATGAGGTCTGTACATGAAATAGGACATACAAGATGATGTCCACATAACTTTTAATTGGTCTGTGCTATGCTGTACGTATTTTAAGATAGGACAGGTAGGAACTTCATGCAGAAAAAACGGTGTGATTAAACTTTGAGGGGGGGCCCCATCACACAGCTCTCTGCCCTTTGCCAGATGCTCCCTCCCTGTTCCCCAGGGCAGTGTGTTAGGTACAATGAATACATTTGCTGTCATGTTTTCAAGAACCTTCTGGATGAATGGAACTGTACCTTTCTGTTTTACACATGATGAAATTGAGGTTTGGAGAGTCTAAGTATCCTGCCCAAGACCACATGGCTTTAAAAAAATGGCACAGTCAGAATTCAGACTCTGGTCTGACTCCTGAGCCCGTGTCCTTTGTACTTCCCCAGCTGAGGGGGAGAAACTATTCCGGGCAAGCGGCTGGAGGGAAGAATAAGGAATGAAGCCAATGTAGAGGCTTATTTCTGGGTAGTGTGTGTGATGGGTTTGGTGAGGTCTGGGAGGTCGGACCACAGAGGGTGCTGCTGACGTAAGTGGTATGTAGCCCTGCTCCTTGTATCTTGTCTTCCAGAAACTGGAATAGTTATAGCTAACAGTTATTTAGTGAGCACAGAAGAACGTGTCAGGCATTACTCTATGTATTTTACAAACACTGTCTCCTTTAGTCTCCCCCACGACTCCAACAATATTCTTATTCCCTTTTTATATTAGAAGGTCAATCATTCTGTCTTGTTTGGATTTCTGTGCAGAGGAAGATTGTGCCATGCAGGCTTAAAGGGGCTCATACCACATTTTGTCAATACAGGTCCTCAGTTGTAGCCTAATTTATTTTTTTTCCTCGTGTGGGATTTTTCTCAATTAAATATAAAGATGCTAGAGGCATTTTGGTCTTAGAATGATTCTTTTCTCAAGATTAATTATTAAAACCAGTACTTTCATTTTCTTTTTAAATTTATAGTGGGAAGACCAGGGAGTTTGCAAGTACGAGGCAGTAAGGCGAGTGAGACACCCTGCCTTGGCTTCTACTGGGCCTTAATGAGAGGGGAAAGTTTAGGCATAAGTGGCTAGAATTTCATATATGTGCCAAATATTTCATGTCCACTCCTTTATTGTGTGTCCACTCTAGAAACAGGTGGGAAGGATACAAGGATATGTGCAATTTATGTTAAAGCCCGTTGACTGAGTGAATCCTTTTTTTTTAATGTAAAGAAATGTTCTGAAATGCAGAGATTTTTTTTTTACAATAGTTTATTGTCAAATTAGTTTCCACATAACACCCAGTGCTCATCCCCACAAGTGCCCTCCTCCATGCCCATCCCCCCTCCCCCCCACATCCGTCAGTCCTCAGTTTTTGTCAGCATTCAAGAGTCTCTCATGGTTTGCATCTCTCCTTTTCCCCCCCATTTCCCCCTCCTTCTCCACCTTGTTCCTCAGTTAAGTTCCTCCTAATCCTCCTATACGTGCAAACATATGATATTTGTCCTTCTCTGCCTGACTTATTTCACTCAGCATAACACCCTCAAGGTCCATCCATGTTGCTACACGTGGCCAGATTTCATTGTTTCTCATTGCCATGTAGTATTCCAT